CATTGTGTTCAGGGGTGTGTAGGTTAGGTGGATTAGTCATGGGAAGTGCAGGGTTACAGGGATTGGGTAGGAGGGTCAGTTTGGACTCAATGGGCTGAATGGCCTTTTTCCACACGGTAATAATTCTATTGATTCCATAAAAAACAAAGGGCAATGTTCTCTCTGAAAACATTAACCCTCGCCTGTACTACTTTTCAGTAGGTCATGATTCATCTACGTGTCTCACCCTTTCTCCGAATCTTTCATTTCTTATGGCATTGAAAAATCCAACACCACAGTCCTGAAATATACTCAAGAACTGTGCATCCACAGCCCTCTGGGATGGAGGATTTCAGAGATTCAAAACTATCTGAGTGAAGACATTTCTCATCTCAACGATGTAGTTAATCTCTTCACTTGAGACTATGATCCTTAATTCTGGAGAAACATTAGGCTTTACTTTCAATTGACAGTGAGCAGAACGGGAAGGTCTTTCTTTTAAGAAATGTTGGTACCTGTGGATTTTTGCATCAGATTATTTCGATCAACCTGCTCAGGCATTGTGACTTCTGGGTGAGGTGGGACTTGAACCAAGATCTGATGACTCAGAGATAGAGACACTAACACTGCACCACAAGAGTCCCAGATTGTGAATATCACCTATTTGACTGTCCAATTATTTTCATGCCTGTGTGTATATGCTGCCCTTTGAAACGGCAGCATGAACGGCAATACTGGCCACATGCTTCCTCTAAGCAAGAGAGAGAATTTAATTTAGTGGTCTGACTCTGAGCTGGCTAACCACAGCCAGCGTATTGTACACAAGTAAATAAATGGTAACTTGGTGATGGGATAGTGGCCTTTATGCAGTTATTTCAGTGGCGACAGGAGAAAATAGGATGTTCCTGAAGAACATTCACTTGCAACAGTCATCTTGGAGTTGGGGGTAAGCACTTCTGGCATCACGTTTACATTTGTGAAGGTTGACTTGTTTGGTCCTGCTGTCAAAGACTGGGCCCAGTATGTGGAAAGAATATGATATTTCTTCCAGGCAAATGACATTAGGGCTGATAAAGCAATGAGCAATTCTTCTGACTGCTTGTGGAACTGCAGCATTTTCAGTTATAAGGGGCTTAACTTTCCTAGAGGTACCGAACACAAAATCTTTCTAAGAGTTGACAGAGTCGGTTAACCTCCTCTAATTCTGAGATGCTATTGGTTTTATTCAACTGCTAGAGAACCGAGGAAATCCATATTGGGATTTTTGACGAGGTTAAAATAACCCTGAATGAGGTGCTGAGAGACCATTTGGCACGTGGAATTAATGCTGTAACCATGTAGAAGTGCCTATTAGCTGAAGCCCAACTTGACTTTAAACAGGCACTACTACTGGCTTTGTCATTAGAAAATGTGGCAACTGGAGCTTGGGAGCTACAGGGCATCCCGATAGAAGGGGACTCCCTCATCTGTCCGACTGAGCTTGAGGAACACCACTTGAGTGTACACAACTCAGAGCCTCACGCAGGGCATATCCTGCGCAGAGGGATCCTAGGCCAGCCCACAGCAAAACCCCACAACAAAGCCGAGGCTCAGCCAAGTGGCTAAAACGTTCTTCAGGATCTGGGCTGGCAAGCCATTGTAGTTGCTGCTGGTATGCAGACTCAAGACAGCAAAGGAGTACAACGAGGCCTGACTTGAGTAAGAAAACTCACATGCCAGTATCCAGGACACTGCAAACCATGGAAAGTCCCCCTACGTGTAGGTTGGAATGGTTAAATTACTTAGCAGCATCCAAATCAGAACTAATTAAAATAAAAGTTTGGTTAAATGGTTACCCAGTTCCCATGGAGGTTGATATCAGTGCAGCTGTGTCTGTGGTTGCAGAATCTGTCTTCAACAGGATTTACTTAGGAATTCAACCCATAAGTTTACACAAGGCCTTAGCCAGACTAAGAACATACATTGAGAAACCATTGCAGATTAAGGGTACGACTATGGTTCTGGTCACCTATGAGAAACAGTTGGTGCAGTTACTACTGATGGTAGTAAGAGACCCTGGGCCAAGCCAATTGGCTTGATATTGGTTGAGAAAGATTCACCAGATTGGCCCAACACTTTTTGATTAGAAAATGGCTGCCCTAGTGAAGTCCTAGTCAAATACTCAGGAGTTTTTCAGGAAGGGCTTGGGCCTATCAAAGCCACTTTATATGTTGACGCTGAAGCAATTCCATCAAACCAGTATGGTCTGCACAATGGGCAGTACTGGTCGTACTGATTGTGAAGCCTGATGGCTCAGTTGCAATTGTGGGGACTTTAAGCAAACAGTAAACCACTTCTCACAGCTGGATAAATACCCGATCCCTTGCATATAGGACTTGCACGCAAAGTTGGTGGGGTGGGGGTGCTGTCCTTTATGAAGCTGGACATGAGCTACGCCCACCTGTAATTGTGACTGGATGAGGAGTCCCAGAAGTACGCCACAATTAATACCCATAAGGGTTTATACCTATATACAAGACTGTCATTTTGGGATATCATCGATGTGCACCCTTTTCCATTGGATCATGGAGAACATGTTACAAGAGGTACCCAAGTTTGCCATTTACCTGGCTGATGTACTAATAACAGGGAAGAGCAATAAAGGGCACTTGGACATAATGCTTAAATGTTGCTCCCAGTCAGGCATATGCCTTAGAAGGGAAAAATGTGTAATCCAGGTGCCCCAAGTGACCTACTTGGGTTACAGAGTGATCAAAACCGGGTTATATCCGTTGGAAGATAAAGGGAGGGCGATCAAAGGAGCCTTGGTCCTAATGTCTGTACCAGAGCTTTGGTTATTCCTTGGGTTAGCAAAATATTGTGGAAAATTCATACATAACCTGTCCTCCATCTTCGCACCCTTACACCTGCTATAGACAAAGGGTCAGCCTTGTAAATGTGCATGTAGCCATGAAGTGGCCTTTGGGGGATGTGAAAAAGCAGCTATCATCTAAGATAACAAGGTGTAGAGCTGGATGAACACAGCAGGCCAAACAGCATCAGAAGAGCAGGAAGGCTGATGTTTCGAGCCTAGACCCTGAAGCTCTACACCTTGTTATCTCAGATCCTCCAGCATCTGCAGTTCCTACTATCGTCATCTAAGGTGTTGGCTCACTACAATCTGAAACAAGAGGCAATGCCCCCCCCCGCCATGGTATCAGGGTAGTGTTACCTTACACTTGTTGTCCAATGGAGAGGAGTGTGCGGCAGCGTATGCCAAACACAAATATGTCCATATAGAGAAAGCAGGTTTAGCGGTCATCTTCAGTGTGAGGAAGTTCCACCACTACTTCTACGGACGGGGATTTGTCATAGCAACAAATCACAAACCCCTGCTAGGGCTACTGAAGGAAGACGAGGCAGTGCCACTCATAGCTTCCATTAGAATTCAGCGTTGGGCCCTTATTCAGGCACAGGTAAGTTAGAACGTGCACTTGCTTTGAGCTGCCTCCTACCAGCAGATATTCCACCAGCGATGCCTCACGGAAGAGTCTGTTGTGGTTTTAAACTTCCTGAACACCCTCCCAGTCACCGCTGGCAATATCTGAATGTGGACACAAAAAGATCCTTGCCGAGTGAAACTAAAACAGCTGGTGATAATGGGGAAAACAGAAGGGCCATCACAACCAGGGCTGAAAGCTTTCTGGACCCAGATCACTGTACAGGATGGCATGGGGAGCAAAGGTGATTGTCCTGAGTTAAGATTGCTGTCAGATACTAGCCAAACTCCATCAGGGTCATCCAGGGGTTTCCAAGATTAAGATGCTAAGAAGAAGCTATTTCTGGTGGCCAGGGTTGGATGCCAACACAGCTGCATTGGTGGGGCAGTGCCCTGAGTGCCAACAAGGACAAACATTGCCACTAGCAGCATCCGCATATTCACAGGAATGGCTGGGTAAACTGTGGACTTGGTTGCATGTCAAATATGCAGGTCCTTTCATGGCTCAATATTCTTGGTCATTGTGGACACCCATTCAAATCGGTCAGACATACATAAAGTTAATTCTGCAAACTCAGGGACGACGATTGAGAAGCTGCGAGCATCATTCGTGATACACAGACTCCTGGAAGTACTGGTCACGTACAATGGGATGTCATTTACCGACAGGGAAGTCGAATATTTCCTAAAGTCAAATGGATTCAGCACATAAGGACAGATCCATACCATCTGTCATCCAATGGTCTAGCGAAAAGAGCAGTCCAAATGTTGAAGACAGATTTAAAGAAGCAACCTACAGCGTTAACTGATACCAAACTGTGCCGGTTCCTGTTCGATTATAGGACCACCCCACTTGCAACACCAGAGATAATTCCAGCAGAGTTGCTGATGGGGAGAAGACTCCGCACCAGGTTAAACCTGATACTCCCTGACCTGGTAGTTGAAGGGATAGGGGTATAACGGCAGCAGGAATACAAATGCTGGCCACATTCCTCCTCTAGGCGAGAGAGACAATTTAGTTCAGGGGTCTGACTCTGAGCTGGCTGACCACAGCCAGTGTACTGTGCAGGAGGTAATAAAGGGTGAGTTGGTGACAGGATACCAGCCTCTGTGCAGTTCTCTCATCCCTTCTCTGCTGCAAAGCAGTGGAAGACTCACTCATCTTACTGCTTGCACTTTGCAGCCATATTCTGCCTCCATCCAATGCTTATTGTCAGTAATTGGGTGCCAAGTTCACGATAATTAGAGTATTTACATTTCAAGATTGGTGCAGATTTGGGACCCAGTAATTATTCAGACGCTGGGTTCTTAAACCAAATTGTAATGCAAGCCCTTCCTGTCAGCATCTATTGCTCAAAGCCTCTAAGAACCAAAAATATTTCAAGAAAACTGAAGTCTCACTGGAAATTCCAGTTGACCTCCTTCCTTCAAACCTCCATTGCCTGGACATTGAAGATCCAGGGATTTTCAATATTTCTCACAATGTACAAATACACACAAACTCAGTCAGACCAAGTTGACTTCAGTTCCTCTAAGAGGGCAATAATGATGAAAAGCAGGCATGTTTATTTAAAAGCACAATACATAAATAAGTCAAATTGGCATACAGATATCTGGTTCAGGTTGTTGCACCACAAAAGCTACAAGAAGCATAAATTTGCAAGTGTACAGCATTTTCCTGCCTTTTGTTAGCAGTATGGAACAAGAGAGAGAAAATAAATCCACTTAGCATTTTTATTTAAGAAGAAATTAATTACATCATCAAATGCCAAATAGGACAAAGAGCACTGAGTGTTTAAAGAATTGGATAGAAGATATTTGATAGACCATAAGTGGCCAGCCACAGGGATTCACAAGTTTTAACTTAAAAAGAACATACATTTAGCTAATGAATTACTATACATCTTGCACAAAGGAATTGCAAGTACTGCCGTTAAACACGTTTACACAGAAACCGTGCTGCACTGGACCAGAATGGAATGAATGACATGATTAATTTGTAAATTATGACACTTTGCTGATGTGCTTAGGTTCCTCAATAACATAATTGTCATAATTGTTGAAAACCAACAACACACAAAACACTTAAGTCTGATGCTTATATTTAAATTTTAAACATCTCTCTCAAATCAAAGTGCCCTCACTGTTCCATTCAAGTTTGGAAATTACAGCTAACATCATAGAAAGTCGCGACACAGCCTTGGTCTCATTTGTTGCTAATTTGGCCACTGTTTCTTATTCTACTGAGTTGCTTGCTTCTTCTTCAACGTCACCCTTGGCAGTTTTTGAGATTATGTCAATCCATCTATTTTGAAGCTCTTCATCATCTGCACTAAAATAAAAGATCTGTTGGGACTGTCTCAGCTTGAAAGAATGCTTCTTCTCAATCGTATCAACGGAACTAGGAAGTTCAATCTCATAGCCAGGCAAGGGGATAGTACGGGCATTTTTTCCATCCTGCAAAGAAACATCCCCATAAAAATACATGAAATAGTTTTTAAAAAGCAACAGATAAAAGCTTGAGCACACTATCACTGTCCACTTTTCAAATTCAATATGGAGAAATTCAGATCCACATCATCCAGAAAAAAGTCAACTTCATTGCGTTAACAATGCACAAAGCCTCCAATATATACACAATCTGTGCAGGCCTACTTTCAGAATGGAAAATATAAAGCTTAATTTAGTTTCAGAAATTCTAATGGCAAATATAGCCTCCAAATTCTCAACTGCTGTCAGAAAAAGAAAATAATGTCACTGTAAGGTTACTTCATTTATTTCAAAAGCATTGCAATTCATTTCAAATTATTTAAGTTTTTGAAGACATAACCCTCTGCTTCAAACTACAGCAGAGGACATTTCATCATCTTTCAGAAAAGTGAATTATTCTATGACCTTAACTAGCTTCTTCTTTTTGGTTAAGAATGATCAATAAATTTACTTCCATAAAATGCGGTACATCATGCAAATTTTGCAAACTGCAAACTTCAGATGGTTAAAAATGTGGTATGAAAAGCAGTTAATTTTGCATGTAAGCAAATATTTTCCCAAGACACAAAAATGCAACCTAATTCATTGAAACAAGTGTAAATATTTCAGATACTACACAAACTGGCATAGAATTTCACTTCTCTGATGGACACAGTCATTGGACTCTAAACATTAACACTGCTTTCTTCCCATAGATGCTACCAGATCTGCTGAGTTTTTCCATCAATTTCTGTTTTTGTTTCAGAATTTCACTTTATTGGTACTGAAGTAAGATTCATCAGGTGTCCTGCATCTGGAATGAGATGCAAGTCTCTATATCCTTAAGCAATGTGACACCAACATTTACATCTTAATCGGACATACATATATCAAAGTGCAAATCTTAGGATTTTAGGGTTATCCTTCGTTTCATGCAAAAAGATATATGGAAAGACCTAGAACTTTCTATGAACACTTACCTTCACTGCCTTTGAAATGCTAGGTAGTTTTAGAGCAATAGTTTTAAAATAAAATACACATTTTCATCCGCTAACAATATTGTGCTGATAGAGAAATCTTTCTTTCCTCTGTTCTATCAACTGGATGCTAAAATTATAGTTTTAACAATCCCTGAAGGTTGTAAATTCAACCAATTTGTTGATATGTTACTGAATATACAACTTAAAATAGCTACTAAGGTTTCCTAATAGTTGAAAACATTTATCCAAGGAATCACCCTTGAATTCAAAATTGAAAGCCGAATAGAAAATTTTCAAGTTGAAGAATAATTACATTAGTGAGCAAAGATAGCATTAAAAATGTCTGAATTACAGCAACTGCCACTCCCTATGCAAGTTCCATTTCCCTTGGAAATGCTGGTTCTAAACATTTCCAATGGCCCCAACACCCACACCACTGTATCTTGAAGAGATGGTTTCTTTTTGCAATCACTGGGAAGATGAGACATATTATTATCAGGGTGTAATCTGAAGCCATTGTGTGCAATCAAATTCGAGACAATGGGCAGAATCTTCCCAGCCCCTGAATGATGTATAGTACTAGCAAGAAAGTTGAGAAACTTATGTGAGATGGCGAGCGAAGAGCTTTCTGGCATCAAGTGCAAAATGTCGCATTTCCAAACCAAGTGCTGGACAGAGGGATGAGATTTTCACTAGTGAGCAGTGGAAGGCCTATTCCTGTACTTCAACATCTCAATGATTACCCAACCTTGCCTGATAAAACTGAAAACAAAATATGCTGGAAATAACTTTGGGTGAGGCAGCATCCATGGAGAGACAGCAAGCAAATGTTTTGAGTCTAGATGACTCTTCATCAGAGCCTGCCTGATAACATGCAGTTTCTCATTCTTCCAACCACTGGATAGAAACTAGATAGTGACAACTTCCAACATGCAAGTCAGAGTGGTAGCCACTATTACTGCTCACTCAGTTTGTGGCAGGTTTGATACACACAGCTTCGTTGCCTTGTCATTTTCTGCTTTGCCCCCTCAGCCACAATTTAAAGGCTCAGTATCTCTGTCTTGCCTTTCTGCTCAGTGCAGACAAAGCCAGACAGTTTG